GCGAACAATGGATAGTGGTGAACTTTCAAAAAATAGTAAAAAAGTTGGTACAGAATATAACCTGTAGATAGTATTTTTCCCGCAAAAGTAACTACATTTCCTACCCTTCGGATGTACACAGATTAAAACTACTAACACAGATGAAATTGATTCGGAATCTAATGACCTGGAAGAGAATGACGAGAAAGAAATTAAAAATCTCATAGAGGTATTTTGGAATTTTTACTCCCAAGTATAATATTTCTCTCACATATAATCAAAAATTAATAATTATTTTTTATCATAGGATAAGGTATATCTTATGAATGATCAATAATACATCTGAAAGATGTTTCTCTAACTAGGATGAATTTTTTTATTTCCTTAGAAAAAATGGGATCTTAGACCCCCGAAAAAAATAAATTATATTGATGTGTCAAATTCTGATTTATCGGAAAATGATTCCATTTCTCGAGAAAGTACACCATGTCCCACAAATATTTTAGCACCAAATATGGCCTTCAAAGTAGATGACGACAAATCGAATGGTAGGTTAGATTTGCGATTTAAAACACAAATATGTAAAGGATCTATATATGTCCCTTATTAATAATTATATCAATTAAAGAACAAGAAAATGACAATTATGAAGATAGAGATAAATACGATGCAGAAAGTCTCGAAGAACTGCATTCATCTAACATTGCGTTATCACCCAAGACTTGTTTACAACAACAAACATCATTGTTATCTGTTTTGAAACAATATTGTGCAAGAGAAACAACCTCACCATACGAGTAAGTTATAATAATGAGTCACTGATACCTTTGGATTACTGTTTATGTTTTGTTTGTAATTTTTTCTTGTAGCCCGGCTCACAGTTTCATTATGGACCTATCACCATCATCAAAAATAAAGGATGGATTCAGTTACGAACAGTGGTCTGAGTTTTTGAAGAGAAGACCCGATGCAGTTAAAAAAACTTACCATCACGAAATCGAACCGTTTATTGTGCACTTGTTTGAAAATAATGTAAGAATATGTATCTTTGAAAGTGAAACCTTGGACCAAATTAATATTATTGAATTGTATAATATCTCTAATATCTAGATGGACTTATCTCAAGCCCGTTTGAAGTGGTATGAACTTCGAAATGTGGTTGCTCCTACCTACAATAATGAGTTCTCATATGCAGAAAATGACTGGGAAAAAATTAAACGTTGGATTGAACGAGTAATAGGGCAATTGTACGTCAGGAAACTTATGTTTTCTGTGCAACTTAATAAAATGATTAACATTTGTTTATTGTTATAGCCTGGATGCATTTGAATCATATAGAAACCCTCTACAAAATAATTGTCTTGAACGTGAATGGACGGGAGATTATATCATACCTTTAATACAAGGTGTATTAAAATTAGATGGCACGTGTTCTATCCCATGGTAAATTAATAAATCTGCATTACTGACTAAATACTTATATAGAATAATAATTTTCCCTTGTTTTTGATGTATTTAAGGGGAGAGATATCAGTATTAGCAACTCAACGTCGTCGTAATAACGAGAAGGATATTAATATTGAAAAAGTAACCAGAAGTCATCTGGCTGATTTACTATGTAAATACGAGCAGTATGAAATTGTTTGCGGATTAATATGTGGTGGCCCACACTTTTATGATCTAACCAAACATTCGTCCGACCAATTTAATTTACCACGGATGATGAAAGATATGTTTGACGATTTAGAATTAAAATTTCTTTTATTCTGGCAAAGATGGATCACAATTGTATATAATTGGAATACAGGTACGCACGCAGTATAATGTTTTGAATTTAAATGTGAAGGTAACTGTATTTACATTTTTGATTACACTGGTTTAGACGTATATGACAGAAGTTAGTGTATACTTAATTGAAAAACGTGAGGTATATTTCCTCCATCACCTAAAATCTTTTAATCTTCCACTTTCATTCTCTGCTTATCAAAGCTTGAAAGGCGCATTAAGAGTAGCGTGGAATATCAGAGTGAGTTTTGGTTTTTTTTACCCGAATTGTAATATCAAAAATTTCTAATTGTTATTATGATTAATAAATGTAGGGATTAGTCAATTCTCTTATTCGGAAATTTGACATTATTTTCGATAATAATGATGGGTTTAAAACTCCTCCATCACGTGTGTCAGACGATAAGAAAACCCAAGAAACACCACCAAAGCAACCAAAGAAAAAAGAGAAAAAAGGAAAAAATAGAGAATAGTATTATGAGTTAGTGCAGATGGTCAACGTTTTTTGTAATTCTGATGCAAAAATATATATCAAAGTGACTATGATCTATGCATGTGACATAGAGCAATAGCAATGTTATAAAATTGATAATCTATACTTTCGTTGTTATCCCATCTAGAGAGAAAATTTGTACGAATTGATTATAAGTTTTTTCCCATTCTTTCATAAGTTCATCAAGCCATGCAGTACTTAAACCGCTTTTTAGTATACCGCGACGTAATAATTCTTCGCCGATCAGCCTTTCCCGATCTGTTAAAAATTTATGATATTTTCTAGGGTCTTCCTTCCTCTTTATTCCACCTTGATAACAGCG